TTTCGGATTGTCAATATAGAACTAGCAGTTTTATTTGTTTTTGGGACAAAAAAAATTGTTAAAATGAGATTGTTATTAAAACTATTCGGATTGTTCGGTGAACAAACAGAATTGTTTGATGAACAAAGAAAATTGTTATGGAACAGTTGAAATAACAAAACTAAATTGTTAAATTGGCAATACAATTTGTAGTATTAACAAAGCTTTGATCCGTCTAATACAATTTGTGCAGTTTCTTCCTTCTAAAATAATCGATAGCAGATTTCCGTACGTCATATCACAAGTTTCATTTGCATTAAAATCTGTGGAACATGCAGCTTCTGAATCAAATTCTCTTCAATAGATTTCTCACTTTAACCGGATTCATTATTTAACAACACTTTGTCATTTAAAAAAAAACTAATAATAAAAGCAAAAGTGGCACATGTGCCAGAAGCAAACGACGCGTCGATCTGAACGCAGTTTGCGAGAATTGAAGATGATCACGTGACATCGAACAATAAACCTGTCAGCTGAAGAAATCCGGATTGTTCCATCAGTTTGCTTCTTCAACTATACGAAATTGCAAACTAAACAAAACAATACATTTGTATTGACAACAATCCGAATTGTAATATTAACATTTCGAATTGTAATGTCAACAAATCTACTGACCATAATCACCTCAAAAAGGTTCTAATTTGCACCATAATTTTCTGTTTAATTGGCAACAGGTAATGTTGTAACGTATACATCAACACAAATACACGCACGCATCCGCCAGGTACAAGATTCGATGTTCGTTTCGCGGTTCAATGACGAAGACAGACCCCGGGAGGATCCTGATTTCGGGGTTAGGTTAAGCTCTGTGCTTGACAGGTATAACGTGGTACGCCCATCTGGCCAGGAATGTATATACACGTCGAAACCATAACCTTGCCTGGAGATCCGGCGATCTCGCATCGCCGATCAATTCGTTCGTGCATACGTTGAACAGGCTAATTTCGCGTCTGCTATATATCCCAGAAATGCCGTAGAATCACGATGCCATTTACATTCGGTCCGAGTTTGAGGCACTTGTCTTGCACTCTCTCTCTCTCTTTTCGCTCGAATTATTCCACTCGTATTTCCGCGGACTATTCGTGTAACAGACACTGCATAAAACTCATTACTTCCAGTGATATTTCATTCTTGATAAAATTTCTTTCGAGAAATAAGAAATATTTCTATTGAGAAGAAGAAGAAACAGAAATATTTGAAATCACTATTAGAAAGTGAATTACACTATGGTTCTATTGTCTAATATTACGATTATGCCATTCATAGAACCAACAGTTAGATCGTGATCATTTCTATATCCATAGGGTGAAACACAATACCACTCATCAAGTAAGTATCAAGGTAACAAGGTAATTGGTTATATGTACAAGATGATGATTTCTCTGAAATGTTGCATACAGCAATATAACATCGAGCGAGAGAGAAATAGCATATACATAAATCTGTCTCTCACCTGCTCTATGAGGGTCCATTTAAGCGAAATTACCTTGTATTGATGTATTTTAGGCTGGCAATCTGCCTACGTTCTATGCTCAAGTGTTCGATATTTCAACCGTCTCAGCAGCTATTAGTTCCAAATGACTAACCCAACAATTATCGCATCTTAACGCCCAAGTAAAATTACATTGAAATTTTATTATTTTTCCCATATATAATCTAAAAGAAACTCACTCGCAAGTCAATCAAAAAAAATTCGATTCACGAGAATGGAAAATAATTCTGAAATCGAGGCAAGCATGCAAGCTAATGGTGGAATAATTTTCCGCAAAAGTGCCGTAAGTACATGAAGATAAGTGGCCAAGTCAGGCGATGCTGGTACTAAACTCGGAGAGAGAAAAAAAAGGCATTCTTTCTCGCGTGCACTTGACTATGTGTTACTTTGGCAGTCCCCATTGGCGACTTGACTATTTCAAAAGAGTCGCGAATAATAATTGTTCTCTGGATCGTTAAAAGAAGTTCTTTTTCCGGGGACGCATTTTCTCTCTCTCTTATTCAAACTTAAGTCTAGGTAATATTGCGACGTCGGAAATACTTGTTACTGGGCAAGGTAACGTGTTGGAATTATACGCAAGTTTGCCACAAGTTCGAACAAGGAGCAAACATGTATACACATATACTAACACAAGAAACTGGAGTTGGTCGAACGTTGCATGCTTCGCGAGATTGTATAATGACATAATATTCATAGTGCACGCTTATGCTTGCGAGTAGAAGGTATAATAAGGGTGTCGAGCAACCCACCCCTCGTCTTCTCTGGAAAATGTAAACTAGGGTGAATGGCGTTTGGGATAGCAGTGCCACCTTCACAGATTTAATTCTTCCCGCTAATAAAAATTCCTCTGCATTATTATTATTATTATCTTTTTTACTATTTCATTTATATTTACAAATTACGGATTTCCATAATTTTGTTTCAAAAATCTAAATTTTTTGTCTAGAACTTCAATTAATTTCCCTAAGTGGATGGAAAGCGTTAAATTTAATCAAATTCTATCGATTAGAGAAAACAAAAGCAAGACCGGAATTTTGGATTGTCGAATCACTTTGCTTAGAGATTAGGGGGCAGTTCACGAGAAAACCACATCTGTCAAATATTCCCTGAGAATAAAGCGTAATATTATACACCCAGGGATTTCCAACAGAGAAGAGAAATACGCACTTGAAGTTTGTACGGAGGGAGCGAAATGAGAAACGAAGAGAAATCGCCGAGAAAGGGATGATGGGGAAGGGGTTTTTGAAGAAGAAGAAGGTGTAGGAGAGAATTGCGAAGGTCGAACGGAGGTGACGGGTGGCGGACACATTTTTAATTAAGACAGTTTCGAGGCGTAATTAATTTTACGATAGCGCCAGCTAACGACCGGCCCTACTCATTCGAGTTTGCCTGCACGTCGATCTTCCTCTTCAAAACCTCTCTCTCTCTCTCTCTCTCTCTCTGTTTCAAGACCTCACTCTCCCAACACAGCTATCAATGTTAAAACTTCTTATCCTTACTTTACATAAAATGTACTTTCTTACAATTTCTACAATTTCAGTTTCGTCTCTATTCCTACATAATTAAATTTCACAAATAAAACTATAATGCTAAAATAAAATGATCAAAGTATAAATTTTCTCTTCAAGATGAGAATTTTCGTCTCTTTTATATATTTTATATAGAAGAGGAGTTTATCTTTCCTCTAAAAGACACTAAGCTTTGAAGAGATCTGCTGAACAATTTATCTGCTATTAAAAAAACGAGCTGTTAAGCACCGCGTTGTAACAATGTATTAGCCAATAAAAGCGTCTAAGCATCGAGTTCTGTTTATGGACTGGTGCGCCCAAGTAAGAAACCTTATCCAGAACGATTTCTCAAGGCAAGCTTTATGTCCGACAGTATAAGTAAACTTGACCTCTACATTACCGCACAAGGTGGAGATAGTTACACTGGGCTTTAATCGGTTCTAGTTTACGGAAGTCATTCACTGTCTTAACGGATATTATAAATATATACTGCTCTGTCACAGAAATAAATCCAAAAAATTATAACTAAAGAATCAATACTATAAAATTTGGTTTGCACTACTATACACAATGCTATAAACTCGCAGACTTTGGTTCATTAGCGAGAAAACCACTTCGACTTTCAAATGAAGGAAAATGCCACTCGCTTTGTATTACGTTTTCCAGGCAAGATCTTGTGCGCTGCTCTCGACCTCTCTCTCTTTCTTTTATATCGTTAAAGCAAACCGCTTTCAGTGCCTTTTCCATTTGTTAATTCGTTATATATAGAAACATGGCAAAGTTGCTGCGCGTATTCACAAAACCACAAGAACTATAGTATGAAACGTCTGTAATGCTTCTGTGTATACGAGAAGATTGTGTCTCCTGGGGTCCTACAAGATAATATTTAGTATTCCCACGGCGTTGGCTGTCGCGGCTTATAATATTTCGCGTCATATTAATATTCCACAGGGAAACGGCACGCAGGAGAGAAACTCTCTCGGAACGTTTCTCCTGTATATGGCACAAGTGAGAACCCCTCACTCACTCTCCCTCTCTCTCTTTCTCTTTCTCTCTGCTATAGTTTACTCGTTGCATGCCATCTCCTCCCCCTTCACCCCCAACACACAACCCTATCCACACGATACTTGGGTACATGTATATCCTCCACCCTCTATCACGAAGAGACTTAACTAACGGTGCAGCTTGCAAAGCTCGAGCACGCATCTATTATGAGTTGGGCCGTCCAACCATCGAATTGCCTCGGGCGAAACATCCCTTCGACTACACGTATCTTCTCTCTATACATGTATATATAGTTCGACGACCTGCCCTAGGATTTGAGAGCAGGACATCGTGAAAAATTAAACACCAAAGAAACTCTAATTACAATTTATTCTCGAATTACTTGTATTTAACACCGAACTATTTCATTCCCGTGAAGAAATTTTGCTAGGGCCCAGATTGGGGCCTAATCAGACTGCTCTATTAGGAAATGAAACGCCGCGCCTGATGTGGCCCTGATTAGGAAATCCACATTTCGCCCTAATTTGGCCCTGATCAGCATTTCATTACCTACTAGAGACCTATTAGGGCAATTTCTACACGGATTTCTAAATGTTCACGTACACTGAGACTTTTTATTTTATAATTTATTTTAAAATCGGCAAAACTGTTTTTTTTCGACCTAGACGCATCTCCCTTACGTATCATAAATTCAAAAAATACTACTCTAGATTAGAGTATTATATTCACAAAAAACGAAACATTTTTAAATTATTAAAAACGTATATATGTAATGTATTTAAAACCGGATATGCAATTCAAAAAAAAAATTAAAGTTATTCGATTACACAGATATTTGCAATATTCATACAAAAATATCAAATGAAAACAAAGAAAGAGCTTCGTTTGTTGTGAAATGAATTCAATAGAATTAAAAATAAAATTTCATTAAAAACTTTTGTGTAATATTCACTCACCAAAAAATGCAAATATAAATTGATATTGTATCCAGACTGACCTGTAACAAACAAAATGAGTATCAATATATATATCTATTTTTATCTCAGCAAATAAAATAATTTTTAATTAATTGAAACTATTTAAAATAATAATTTTTTTATATAACAATCATTAAACATTTATTGGGGAAATAACCGAATAATAACGAAAACCGCGTTGAGAGAGCTAATGTTTCATTCTCTTCGTATATATAATCGAAAACACTCAGCTAGTAATTAAATACAATTAAGGGTCGATAGAAATTTGTCCTTTTATTGCCAGTGACCAGAACAAAATTGATCTAATCTATCTAGAACCGCCAAACTGTCAACGAAACATAGGGGCACTTCTACTACAAGTTATATACCCCAAAAGTATATCATGTTTCCTTGTATATAGCAGAAGTCAGTAATGGCTTTTTCTCTCTTTCTCTCTCTCATGAGGGTTCTTTTTGAATGAACAAAAGTTCGAATAAAGTACCTACCATTACTATCAAATCCTTCTTTTCTTCCTATCTTCATTCAGAAAACACAGAAATCGAATTTATTCTCTCTCTCTCTCTTTTCAAACAATTGGTAGCAATTGTATTTTACCAAATATATACTCGCATTCTTTACAACTATTTATCCAACTTTCTCATGACTTATAAAAGCCATTTCTTGTCTCAATAGTCAAATATATCTTATATAGAAAAAAAGCATTTCTTTTCATTTTTTTTTTACTTATAAAAAAAGATTGAATGAGCAATTTCAAGAAGAGATTCGATGCCATTTATGAGTATATATAGGTCTCCATTGTCTCTATAAGTATAATAGAGTTAATCTCGTGGTGATGTACCCGATATTCAAATGCCAGAGTGGAAATATCGTGCACGCCCGCAACGGTGGTCACTCTCATCGTGTGTGTGTGTGTTTGCTACTATACCAAAGGTATATGTGAAACGCGCGTGCCTTCAAAGAACATTTGCAGTAGAAACTCCCTTCTGAATAGGCACGAGTATATATTTGGTAACAAAGCGAGAAGAGAAAGGGACAGACAGAGAGGTGGCTTAAAACAGCAATATATCATAGAAACGTCCAGAGAAGTCATAATGCATCGAGGAACACACCCTATCAGTCATTTAGGTGCGAGAGAGTTCCAAAGGTCGGTAAACCTATGGGAGTACCACTTTCACCAAAAAGGTTTTTATAATGCCTAAGTTAGGACTCTTAACTGGTTCTAAAACAAATTTATTAAAAAGCACCCAAAAACAAGGAAAAAAATTTATTGTGACAACAACTCCAATTCTAGAATAGGCAAATGTTCTGTAAACAAAGAAAATAGTGTCCAGGTTTACCAATCTGAGTTCCGAAATGGAAACTCTGTTCTTTTTCTCTTGCCTGTTGCAATATACCTTCGCGCACCTGGTTTATAAATAATTACCCTCGATTACTTATGTAACAGTGTGAAAAATCGCAGCGAAATATTTCTACGTGCTCTGCTCACCAAATGTCCCTATACTAGCATTTTACATATTCTACACAACAATCCATTATCATTTAAAAAATATTTGACAATAAAGTAATTTGTACAAACAAATGTTTTTAAATCAGTTACGAGTTTAAACTCCAATTTGTTCCGCTCTTAACAAAATCGAAATTAACCTCATTTGTTCGAGTCGTAAAAAGATTTATCCTGTCTTTGACTCTTTAAAACTCCTTGACGATCACTAAAAAGTAAAACTCGGCAGAAATCAATGTCCCTGCTTCTTAAGGAGATAAAGAGACGGACGTTCTATATATCGGTTACTAATGCAACTTCACTGAAAGAGAGAGAGAGGCTTTAAACGCACAAAGCCGATTCTCACTCTACAAGAGGAGAAACTGCTTTAACAGGAAATAATCCATCGCACCCTTAGAAACGCCTGTCACGCTATGTCAAGCTCCTCGAGCATGTTCGAGAAATATTCTCGGTCTTCGAACGACTGTCACATAGGATCAACATTCTCTTTAGACACCTGGTCCCCCCTATTCGTTTCTTCCCTTAATATGTGTCTTCGCAATCCTTAACGATCATCGACACATTGTCGGAAATTAACTGACAGTCAAGTGGAATGAAAGTAGAGGGGAAACGTATAAATTAACCCAAAGAGCAGAAAACGATCCCTTAATACGTTATCAAAGTGGAGACGACACGAACATCTAACAGTCGTGTGACCTAAGTTAATGCAAGCAGGTGTACCTGTTTCAAACCTAATCAACAAGAACAATCTTCAAATCCTTTATTTCAAAAACTATAATTACAATTTTCATTTCAAAGAATTTTAATAATTTTCATTTAACTTTTAATTTAACATACTCTGAAATTTCCAGGTCTATGGCAGCATAATTAAAATAGAAATATTTTACTATATTGTATTTTTTAAAAGCCGAACCAGTTGGTTGTAAACTAGAATTGGATTCGGACCAACCAGTTTAGACGCACACGAAGAAACAGTGATTGGTGATGGGATTAAAATTCATCCTATTCTTCCTGACCAGTAGTGAATTTATAGGGCCACATGTGTGTGTGTGGTTCTTTTGGCCATTGCTTGTTACATATACATTCAGTAGTGGTGACGAGATTAACGTTGACGAAAGTAGATCGAGTCGCTTGTTCGATTACAAATGCATGATTTGAGGTGAATATCAAATGCAAAAAAAGGGGACTCTCTCTCTTGTTGGCATCTGCCCTAGAAAAATTCAACGAGGGGAATATAAGAGCATATGTGTTGCTTTTCTAAAGACAAAAATATTTTTTATTCATCGAAACGACTTTTAAAGTTGAATATTTTATGGTATATAGAAAATGACAACAAGCCAAGTAAAATGATATGTTTAAAAGAATAATAAGCTATACCTTTATCCACGATCAACGTTAAAAAAGTATTTAGTTTCTTTCTCTTTGAGTAAAAGAGTTAAAAAAAAGCCTCACCTGACTTTCACATAATTAAATATCTTTTACATAGATAAGATCTGTACCCCTTTCTATATAGAAGAGGTATCGTATTTCGCTTCTGTATTGGATGATCTGAAATTCGAGTATCGTATCAGCACGTGGATGTCGTTTTAGAAAGAAAAAAAAAACGGATAATATCGACACGACCACAAGTAACCCAGCACCTTGAGCTTTGTACTTCGATAAATTCCACCTGCTTGAAGAATTTATAATTTTGTCAAAAATTGTTAATAAAAATAAATCTGTCATTCGAATATACGGTTTTTATAAAGGATATGCTTGTCATTCGCTTAAAAGAATTATTTTAAAATTGCTATATTGAAATATCACCATTGTTATACGAACTCTCGTGAATCATTATACGCCCTACTATGTATAGAGCAAAAAATAAAAAGGGTCAGCACAAAATGCTAATTGGCTTCTAGATTCGTATCGGGTAACACTATTTTAAAATGCACAACAACTCAATATAATCTTAGTCTGAACTTATTCAAACAAGTGGTTTTCCTCGAACCCTTTCGGAAAAGAGAGAGAAAGAAAGAGCGATTAACTTTTTTTTTTCATCTTCACACAAGACACAATACCTTTTATAAGAAGCCATGGAGATTCATTAATATTTAAGGAGCGCACACGTGTCGTTCATAGCAAGCTAAATGGATTCCAGAAGCCATAAAGAATGGCTATGAGAGGCACGTTGCCACTTTACATTTTTGTCCACACCTTTGAAACTTGTTTTACATATTAGATTTTTTTTTATATATGATAATATTTAGGTTTAAAGAATGAAAAATCGAGGCAAATTTTGCGCCGAATGATATATATAAAATGGAATAACAAGAATTCAGTATAATAATTAGAAAATCAAGTCTCCCTTTGTGAACAATAGAAGATGAACCCGATTACTAGCAAAATTCGACCGCACACAATTGGCATGCAACTATTGCCGAGATTAGTCAGAGATCTCAATTTTCTCTATTCGTGAACATGGTAAATGTCCATGAACAAGGCAAGCAAATACTTGCTTGGTTCGAGCCACCAGTCATCAAGTTGAATCGAAGTGGCCGTATCGGTGCGTATACGCTAACGAACTAGCTACCAATTAACCAACGGGGATCCAACCAACCAACTGTATCGCCAGATAGGAGTCATCGTTTCACATCGATTACCAATTGAGGTCAAAACACAATCTCTGCCTTGCTTACGTTTCACGCGCCTTTTGTTTCTTGGAAAAATTAAAGATTCAATTAGGAAATAACTATAAACATAATCAGTTTATGCTCTATATTCTGTTTAAACTAAAACAAAGTTTATTTCCACTTTTTTAATTAACTGCAAGGAATGTTTTAATTAATTTTTTTTTTGCTAAAAATTTATTTTTTTTTGCGATTCAATTTTATTTTAATGTTTCAAAAAGCCACACAATTTTTTCTTTATGTGAGTAAAAAAATTTTCCAAAAATTAAATCCAACAAATTTGTAAGGGAAATTGGGGATTTTTCCTCTTTCACAAAACTTTAGATAAAGTGTGCCACTATATACAGAAGAAAATTGTATGTCTAAAGAATTATTTTCTTGGCAAAAATATGCTCAGCAACAACTTTGAATTCTGAAAATATACTTCTCTCTTGAAAAATGCTTGCCCTTATACTTTTCGAAGTATAACAAAGGTTGCCAACTTTTTCTTTTTCTAAAGAATAAAGTCCGCAAACCATGAAGGAGAAGAGAGGATGAAAACTCTGCGCGCGGGAAAAGACGTTCTAACTCTTCTCCACTCAGAGAAGTGGGGGGGAAAGGAGGAATGTTAAAAATTTTCAGACAGTTTATATAGAAAGAGAAGAAGAAGAAGAAGAAGGGAATGAAGTCGCGATGCCGGGAGCGGACACCGAGGCCCCCTTATCGCTCTCTGGAGACGCCACTTTGACGATTACAGAGGGTTCCGGCCCAAACGACACCGGATATAAGCACCGGATAAGAAAGTTGTGCGCGAGTTATGAAAAATGCAACAAGCCAGTTATCGACGGCGTGAATTTTTCATCGAGGTAAC